AATTGTGAGTATCATGAAAATTCAAGATCCTGTGTGTTGTTTTCATTTAATTGAAAATTAAAGATTTGCTTACACTTTATGCACATGGCAGTCTACCCTGGTTTGCAGAAACCATAACGTAACTCTCCACTTATTTGAACTATGCTCCATTACGTGTATTGAAGTTATATTTCTATTTTTTTAACATCATTTTCTGACTTAGGGTTTATGTTTTGTTCATGATAGACCATCCTTGTTCAAATTAAAGGTGTTAGGACATGATAATCAATATTTGAAGTTGGAAAGCTTTATGTACAGGGCAGTCTGCCCTGGTGTGCAGAACCCATAACGTAACCCCCCACTTATTTGAACTATTCTCCCTTACGTGTATTGATGTTATATTTCTTGTTTTTTAACATCATTTTGTGAATTAAGGTATATGTTTTGTTCGTGATAGACAATCATATTTCAAATTAAAGGTGTTAGGACTTGATAATCAATATTTGAAGTTGGGAAGCTTTATGTATAGGGCAATCTACCCTGGTGTGCAGAACCCATAACGTAACTCCCTATTCATTTGAACTATGCTCCCTTACGTGTACTGAAGTTATGTTTAATGTTTTTCAACATCATTTTGTGACTTAGGGTGTATGTTTTGCTCATGATAAACCATCCTTGTTCAAGTTAAAGGTGTTAGGACATAATAAATCAAACTATATTCCTACACTACCTCTTGGAACCATATTTCAAATAAGTGGGGATTTATGTTGTAAGTTTTGCACACAACTGGTAATATTTGAAGAAAATGTAGAATTTCATACATAAAAATATTACGTATTTCTTAAGTGTGACAATAAATTAATGTAAATGTTTCATGTTATTAAAATGATTTTAATTTGTTATACAAAGGAAAATTATAAGTACTAATTGCTTTTGTCAATATTTACTTAATATTTAAATTCACTTGTCTATTCTTATGTCATTGATCTAAATTTAAAAAAAATTAATTAAATATTGCAAAAAATATAAAATATTTTTTCAAAAAGAAAATAAAAAATATTGGTTTTATTATGTATAAACTTACACTATTTATTGGTTCATTATATACAAAAAAATATATATATAATATTAAAAAAATATGACAAACAAATATTTCAAAAAGAATATTCATTATTGTTGAGATTGTTGATAGGGGAGCACTAGTTTAGCTGAACACACAATCTCAGTAATATCTGAGTTTTTGATGATGACAACACATAATTAATAACACACATGTATTTGGTGTTACATGTTCTATGCTTACATGTTATATGTGTTTTTGAGAACATGATTGTGTTGTTTATTGTTCATTGCATTTCACTGTGTTATATATGTGATTTCATACATGAATGGATGACACTTGTTTTTGGAAAAGAAAAACCACAAGCACTTTTGTTAACTTAAATTGTGTGGCAACAATAGTTTTAAATCGATTTCATTATGGAGTGAGTCGATTAAAACTCGTGTCTTTGCACAATTTTTTTCGTGTGCTTTGAGAGTTTTTCAAAGAGAAAAATTTTCAAAATTGTTTTACTTTGTTATAAAGTCGATTACATGCGTGTTGCATTCGACTGAGTTTGTTATGTTTTGAATAATTGTTAATGCTTGATATAACTGTCACAACGGCTATATTTTTAAATATGTTGACCAATCATTAAATGAAATTCGACTGCATTAATTATACATTCAATTAACTGCATTGATTGTTGCTAACTACAATAACAGAATTGTTATATTCGACTACATTAGTAGCTTAGTCGATTAAAATGCGTTAGAGTTGTGTTTATCTATAAATTGACACGAATTTGATTTCTATAAGAACTTTTGTGAATCTAACAGTTTGTGATATCTTTTGCAGAAAGTGCATTCTTACAGAAAGAGAGAAAGAGCTCCAAGAAACAAGAAGTGACCGTGGTGATCATCTACTTGTGGATTCTTGAAGAGCAAGTTAACTGCATGTACAAAAGCTGGTCATATTTGCACATTGGGTGTAACTAAGCGATCAGAGGCTACAATCTTGTGAAGATTGGACTGAGGTTCCCTGTTGTGATTATAGGAAGAAGAGCGTGCTGCGTTCTTGACTTTGAGGATGGCTCAAAGGGTTTGGACTACAGGAGAGGGGATTCTTGCTACTAGTTTGTTTGTATACTGCCTATATTTTGATTAGAGAGTTAGAGAGATGTTTTATATTTTTGACGTGAGGTCGTTATAAAAGCCTTGTTGTAAAAACTTTTATTATTATAGTGCATTGGCTTCCTGTGGTTGGAAGAACACTAGATGTAGGCTTGGCCAAACCAATATAAAAACTCAGTGTTTAATCTTTCTATCCTTACACTCTTTTATTCAGTCGACTTCTTACTGTACTCAATCGATTTAATTTTCGCTGCATAAACAAGTCTTTTACCTTGCGTTTCAAGAAAGTTATAAAGGCTTAAATTTTATATTTGGTGAAAAAAGATTTTGAATGTTTTAAATTTTATACTTCATCAATTCACCCCCTTTTGGTGTGAGAAATTGAGTCATTCTTTTTTAACAATTACTTTAATGTGTGAATAAAAACTAATGGTACAATAATATTTTAAAATATAATCATTGAGTCGTCCAGTACATATCATGATAAGACATTACAAGATATTAATGCAAACAAAAAGACAATTGGGGGGTGAGTGAAGGGAAGAACATGTTCAACATTGTTGTAAAAGTCCTTTATGGCCTTTTCACTCTTCAGTCGTGTACCTCTCTCAAGGCGACTTTCTTCTTTCTCCTTCTTTAATTTATCTCTAAGTCTCTCTAGATGTTTCTCCAGAAATAACAAGTAAATTTAGGACAAATTGTTCATAACAAAATAGGTAAAATTATGGTAGTGAGTTAAAACAAAACTACAGTTTCAAATGAACCTGTATTCTTGTGTCCTTTTCTTCCTTCATCACTTGTTCACTAGTTGTATCAGGTGTTGAACTTTTCCCTAATATACACCATGAAATTTTAACAAGAAATTCCAACAGCAATAGCAGTTTAGAAACAAATATAAACACGGACAACAAAGTAATAGAGATTGGAAAAATAATTTTATCACCTTGTTTAATCTCATCTAATTGCCTAGATAGTTGTTGGTTCTCTTTACCTGCATCTTCCTTTTCCCTTAACAAAACATCAATCCTCTTCTGGAAAACGATGGAAAAGAAAAGTAATGTTAAAATATTGGAGAATACAGTTATCCAAAGAGAACACTATCCATTTTTCAAAATAAGAACTTCCACGCACCTTATACTCAGCCAGCAGTTTCTTATTCTTCTCCAAATCAAGTTTTAGGTTAGCCTTGTTAAATCGTAACACAATTAATGCTAATAGAGAAAATATATCACCAAACATCAAATATAGAGAATATCCCAGTGACCTCATCATGCAGAATGTCATGAATTCTCTTTTCTCTCTCCATAAGCTGCAATCGGTGGCTTGCAAGATCTTTTTCTAGACGTGAAACAGAATCCTGGTTCTCGGATGGACTTCTTATTTGAAAAACAACTTATAGATTCACAAATGTTTGAAACAAACTATCCAATAAAATAATTCATATTAAATACAGGATAGTCATCTTCCTCCACATGATCTTCATATTCATTAAAGTCATCATCTCCTCCATGACCTTCATTATTTATCATCAATTGGAGGAACCTCCAAATCATCCATAGCTTGAGCAACACCACCACTAGCATCTTCATATCTTCTAACTTCAACTAGGACATCTACATTTGAAGCAGCCAAAGTTCATGTATAAGGCATGAAACATTTATAAAAAAATCAATTGTGTTATACAACTGCAAGGTTGAAAAAGAGGCCTCAATACTCATTTAAATGAGCAATTTATGCTAATAAAACAACTTGAATTTCTATAGCAAGTTTCTTCACTCGATCATAATCCTCAACATCAACGTTTTTGCTCTTTTGAAGCAACTGAAGAAAGAATGGAAAAAAATTAGAAAAAAATTAGAAAAAAAAAAAAAACTTTAGAAGAAAGACAGTAACAAAATATGGCAGTAAACTCTGCACTAAGCTAAAGTCAGAACTCACTCACAGCTTTTCACCCTAGCTAGCATGAGAGAAAGAATTCAATGAGAAATCCTTGCAATTTAATAATTTGAAATCATAATGAAAGGAACCAGATAGCATGACCCTCCCAGGTATACTAGTCCATGAAGGAAAATTTAATAGGCTACTCATTTGGTTTGACAGGGAAAGCTGTAATAATTTTGTCTCCTAGAGACACTCACGGGAAAAAGAAGTTCATAGTACATACTAAAGAATTTCCTTTCCGGTTCATTATTGAATAAATGGACAATGCCTTATTTGTTAAATCTTTGAAAGCATATTGTGAACCAAGATATCGCACGGTCTTTCTACAATTTATTCTATCTGTGAAGTGGGTTGGACTATGTTACGTACCTGAGTACGTAAACTAGCCAAATACACCCTTTCACACTCTCACACACGTAATAGAACAATAAACGAATGATAACGAATGAATGAATCTCTTTTATTGATGGTAATATCTGAATAAACAAGGGTAAACAATAATTGGGAGCATAACCTCCTTCAATTACTTTAGGAGCATAACCTCCCTCACAAGACAATAATGTCAGTCACAAAACTCAATAATCAAAAACATGTCTTTAACCCTAGACTCTAACTTTATTTATATTAATTATTTTCCGCACATCTCTTATTAAAGATTTCTCTAGAATATATCTGCATTTAATATAAATATCCTTATATTTAATATTTAATATAAATATCCCTATATTTAATATTTAATATTTAATATAAATATCCCTATATTTAATATAAATATCTCTCCGTATATTATCCTAGCATATATCCTTAATTATAAATATCTTATATTGAATATTTCCCTAAATATATATTTATTTACTCTAATTAACTTATATTATATTTATTTACTTTAATTAACTTATACTAAATATTATCTCTGCTCATATACTTTTCAACCCTTATTATTACCCCTACCTTATATCGTAACAGATTATGAAACAAAATTAGTACATTGTTCATTTGGTTTTGCAATAAAGAAAAGGTAATGTTGTATTAAGCTAACCTTATGGTGCACTCACGGTTCTAAGGTTCTAAAGCTGCCCATATTCCTTATCCATGATAACACATGAAAACAACCATTTTGTATAATTTTAAGAAATAATAAGATAGTAGAACCATGAAAACAAAAGCATATTCCTAGGCAATTCCTAGACAAGAAATAATAGAGTATGTGTATGGTTTTGAATATTGGTTCGGTATACGTTCATGTAGTGACCATGGAACCATTATTACATCAATAAACATTATTCACGTTCTTTGTAGAAGTGAGATTATCAATGCAAGCTCTACACATGTCCTTAAGTTTTCAATCCAATTCAATTAGTAACACGCTATACACTAAGTTGAACCCAATCACCTAATTTATCCCAACCCAACGAAATGCTCCTAATTATGTGTACGAAGCACAATCACATTTGCAACAATAAGTAAACCTACTTCGTTAAAACATGAATTTAATATAAGCAAAGCTAGAAAATTGAAATATAAGAAAAAGATGAAATGAAAAGCGATACTATAGAGAAGGTACGAGAGATTCGAGATGGTTGTCAATGGAGGAGACTTCGTGGCGAATGGCGATTAAGGCGTCGGCAGCAGCAATGAAAGATCGGTAATTGGCAATGGCGACCTATTGCATTTCCAAGGGAACGTGACAGAGGAGCTTTGCCAAGCAAGCGCCCTTGGGCACGACAACAAGATTACTCTGGTTCACAAAAACTAGAATTCGACTGAGATTAGATTCGTTAGCCAAGATGAAGAAGGAAAGAAAGGAAGAAATTTTGAGTGAAATTGAAGTTAGGGTTTATGAGAGAAAACGATGGTCTAGCGGCACAAGGGTTTGACGGCAGTGGCCTCTTCAACACAATTCCTCGACCATGGCATAACAGTGAGAAGGTTCGGATATATGTGATTGTGAGGGTGAGTATTGAAACTGTAGAGCGCGTAGATGGTGGTTTTCACGTTGAACGGAGCTTCGAAACGCCAGAACGTTCAGCTCCAACGAACGGTGACAATCCGGTGAACGCTCCTTTATCGGTGAACGACCGGTTGTGGTGAAGGGAGGTTCGTGGGTGGGAGGACCTTCTCTCGTTCGTGGCTTCTCTATGTGAGATTTTAAATTTTTGAATCCGAAAAAATAAATAAAGCCGCCTAAATGAAAACCATGTAACCCTTGACTTGCATTTCCATATTATTTTTTATTTTTTAAAACTTCTTTCACGTGGACCAATTAGAATGTGACACATTGATGGAGTTAAAAATTTGTCACAAAATAGTATCAAAATATCATTATCTAGATAAAAGTAACTTTCAACCCTACATAAACTAAACTTAAGAAAATTATTTAACTTTTAACAAAAGTTAAATTAATTTAATTTCTAATGAAACAGTAATTTTTATACACTACTAAATTAATTAATGAAAGCTTCTTTATTTTTCTCATCTATAAAATAATTCTTTTTCACACATTTTACTTTTCAATATAGTATCTGTCACTTATTAAGTTTCATTTATTTCTTTATAAGTTTCAAGTTTTAGACTATATTTCTTCTCTGTCTAATAAATGTGGCATTAAATCCTGTTCGTATTAAATTTAAATCTTTTAAATAATGTCTTAAAAACAAAATAACATAAAATAAATAAATTATATAATTAAATGTGTTAAAAAATATATCAAATTTAAAATATATTGTGCAATCTCTGATTTATCATTGAGTAACTTTCAACTCATGCATCTTTTTCTTTTTTTATTATTTGTCAATTTTGATAATTGAAAAGCATTCAAAAGGTGTGTGGAATATTTAAATTGTGTTAGACTTTGATTCCTAAACAATGTGAGACTATTGGACGTGATAGGACATAAGTCCCTCAATCGATGTTTAAGGGGAATGACTAAACGTCCCTAATGGAGGGTTTAAGGGACCAGATGTTCCATTATAGTGGGCGTTATTGTTTCGATCCCAAGTTCGTCAAGTAACATCATTAGGATTAATCATCATACATCTGAAGTATTATCCATCTTTTAGCATGGAACTCTATCACAATTTTATCCGTAAGGCTTTGTTCACTTCAATGGATTTGGGGGAGAGTGATTAAGGGGATTTGAGAGGATTTTAAGGTAAATTTTTTTGTTGTTTATTTGAGTGGATTTGGAAGTAAGTGAGAGTGGATTTGGAAGTAAATTTTTTTAATCTGTCACATCAATCAAATACTACACTAATTCTCACAAACTTTACCTCCAAATCCAGTCTCACTTACCTCCAAATCCATTTAAATAAACAACAAAAAAATTTACTTTCAAATCCCCTCAATCACTTTCCCCAAAATTCATTCAAGTGAACAAAGCCTAAAAGATGCCTCAGAGGATGAAAGAAGGAAAAACTATTTAAATTGTCTTACACCTCAACTTTTAAGCGATGTGAGACTATTGGGTGTGGTAGGAACAAGTTCAAATAAAATAAATGGTTTTGGGTAAATGAATTATGGAAGGGGGTGTAGTTGTGGAGTTCTAAAAGAAAATGTGTTATCTAGAAAAAAGTTTAAATTAAATTAAATAATTAATTAAAATTTATTTGTTAAAGTTGTAAATTTGGAGTTAAATATGTTTTTAGTCTATAAACTTTATCTAGAAATTGGAATTTGTTCTGTCTAAAATTTTGATACATTTTAGTCTCTAAACTTTAGAAATGAATAGATCTAGTCATTTTAACTCAATTGTAATTTTGATACATTTTAGTCTCTAAACTTTATAAATGAATAGATCTAATTATTTTAACTCAATTGTATTAAAAAAAAAATTTATGTGTCAAACACATTTTCGAGCTAAAATTGAGGTCATAATGTGTCAAATAGTGTAAACAACTAAATAGTAACATGAAATGCGTTTGACACGTAAAAAAATAATTAATTTAACTGAGTTAAAATGAGTATATCATTTAATTTTAAGGTTTGAAAAAAAGTATTGAAGTTTCAAAACGACAAATTTCAATCTCGCAGCAAAATTAAAGAATTAAAAACCTAGTTAATGCTCGCTTTTGTCATAATTAATTATTCTAACAATTGTTTAGTAATGAATTTGTCTGATAAAAAACTTTAAAACTTTCAATATTTCAATATTAGTATGATAAATTAAATAGTTTTAATTTACTATTTAAATTATTAAAATTAATATTTAAGAAAAAATAATTAAATGTTTTTTTTTCTTAAGTGAAAAATTAGAATAGTTATTTTTTGAAATTTTAGTTCAATTTAATCTCAACTTAAAAAATGTGTGCATTTAGTTTTTTTAACTAAATTTTATTTTGTTAAGTTTATTTAATATTGAAACAAAAATATGTCAAATGGTATAAATAATTCAAATGTTATCACGAAGCACGTTTAAAATGTTAAATAAATTTAACAAAATTTGGTTAAAATAATTAAATTCATACATTTCAAAAAAAAGACAAAATTGATCTAATGTTTTATTTATGGACTAATTTTAGTTTTCACTAAAAATTAAGAAACCAAATATATATTTAATCTTTTTAAAATATTCTCAAAAAAATCCTTTCAAATAATCTATACCATATTTCCAAATTAATAGTTTTTAAAACGCTTTAAATTTTCAGACAACGCTTTTAAGGAAAAGGGGAGAAAAGAAAGATAATTCCACCAACCTAATTTTCGGTCACATTTTTTTTATTAAAATTAAAATACAAAACGTCGACAGCAGGGTTCGAACCTGCGCGGGCGAAGCCCAACAGATTTCAAGTCTGTCTCCTTAACCACTCGGACATATCGACTTTTGTACTAACAATGGATACGAATTAATAAATAGTTAACTGCAATAACATGTATTGTTGTAATTTTAATCTTATAGTAATTTTAATTTTATACATAGATACT